TAAGTTCAAGTACACTTTGAAATATCAATCTCACTTTTGATCATATGCAAGTGATATGAAAATAACTCTTTGTGTACAAAATAATTTTTGAGCTATTGTCATTTATTACTAAAGATCAAAGCGTTTATACCTTTACATGTGATCTTGAAAGCATAGTTTTTGATCTAGCTTCGAAGTTTCTTTCATGTTTGACTCTTAAACTCTTGATCTTGTTCTTCTTCATGAGCCCAATTTGATAGTCTTGATTTTGATCCTTTAAGCTCTCATATCGAATGATTTGACTTGAATGCTTAACTTTCACTTTCATCTTCATTTCAAGTCCGATTTATGATGTGTTGATTTTGACAATGCTTGATTGATTTTAACATTGAACTATCATCACTCAAAATCAATTGTTAGAAATAATATTAATCTTGTTTGTTATGATCAAAACAATAAGGATGAAATCAACCATAGGTCAAAAATTTCCCCCTTTTTGATTATGGCAAACAAGATGATTTGCAAAGTAAGATTGAACAATTGATATCATATTGATAAAAGAATATACATTATATATTTATCATATAATTCATGTTCCCCTTATATTTTACAAATCAATAATCATATATTCAAAGCATGTTATATTTTAAATCAAAGTATGCATAATCATCTCACTTCATTTCCTCCTTTTGACATAAGCAAAAAGATATAGCATTTAAGATCAAAAGACGACTATAAGAAACAATAAAAGATTCCCCATTTTTAATATTTTTCAAATTTATCTTGCTCAATTTCTCCCTTTATCATAAGCAAAATGATAGCACATATGAGAGGGAGATTATTGTATATAAGATCAAAACTTTAAATCAACCATAAAAAATAGTAATAGATTCTTCCTCAATTAAGCACAAGATACAAGTTTGAATAAAAGGATAATCATTACATTTATAGTAAAATAATAATCAGAGCATGAGTGATGAAATGACAAAAGCATAATAATTTGAGTAAAATTTTTATAAGTTCCAACAAATTATGCACATAAAATCATACGAGAACATTTAGTATGAATTCAATTTAACGACCTTCATCAATAATTCCTAAACATCTTTGAATATATAAAAATTTATCAAGTGTTAGAGGTTTAGTGAGAATATCGGCCAATTGATTTTCTTTATTCACAAATTCTAATACAATATCCCAATTTTAGGTACTTTTAGAATACCATAGACGTAATGTATTAGTGCCAGTAAGATATCTAAAATTCGTTATATGGTACTAAAGTGTGATTCTTGAGTTGTGTTGAAATATAACATATAATCACACACTAAACATAATATAGAGTTTACTTGTGATTAAGTAAAGAAGAGATCTGATCATACCTCAATATTTGTTATGTTTATGGAAGTACCTTGATCATCTTTTTTGATTGATGAGCATATTGGAGCGTTCATTGATTTCAACACTTCCATTTCAAACTTATTGAGCATGTTCATGGTGTGCTTTGTTTGGCTTCATTGGTTAGGAAGAGATTGGCCACTTTATACTTCTGAGGATTCTTCTTCATCTAGTTG